GACACCGAAACAGCTGGGTACTAAGGCGCAGGCTTGGGCTGCAAAGAAATGGCAGGCCTGAATGTTGGAGCACAATGCGAAGCAGCAGGCGCACACGGGAACGAAGTGGTGGCAGCTCGCGAAAGAAAAACGATCACCGCCAAGAGACGAGAAAGTGAACCCAGCCGGACAAGGCACGGACACGTGCAAAAGCAAAACAAAAAAACAGAAAAAAAAGGAACTGAGCCGAATGCTTAGCCAGACGCGTCGGGCGAAGGTGGACGGGCGAAGATGGCCTCAGCATGGACACAAAAGATACCCTGGTGCGAAGAGCAGCATCTGTGTCCAAACAAAAACAATGGCACCTGATGCGTCGAGACAAGAGCAGGAACCCACATTGGGCAAACGCACCAGCGCGGACACAGCATGCAAGACAGAGTAAGATGCAAACTCCGAGGCGGCAAGCGATGTCGCATGGTGCCTGGAACAGGTACGAAGAAACACAAGAAAGAAAACCAGCAGGTGGTAAGGCCTAAGGCGCGGACAAAAGAGGACGGCCAGATGTCTCCCCCGACCTGGACGGACCGGAACGATTGAGAAAGACAACACGCCGAGAACCGAAAGACAAAATGCTAAGGCGAGCAACACCCGCGGCGACAGCCATGGAGGACACGACCTCGGACGCGTCAGTCGAATAGGAGAAAAGAAACAGACTGCACAAAGAAGAAGCTAAGACATCGGGTAGCATGCAGACAGCACCGGTGACGAGCAACCCCTGCAGCGGACGCGTCAGAGCGCCGGACGCGTCGTGCCTCGGTATAGCAGTGGGACAAAAAAGGGCAAGATAGCACAGAAAAGAAGGAAGAGATCGGGTTGCACGCGAAAAAGTGCGAGACAAGTAAGAAGTAGAAAGTAAAGATGCCAAGACAAGCAACACCGGCGAAGAACGTGTCTGAGGGCAGGACGTGTCACGCCTCGGTAAGGGGAAAACAAAGAGAAAGACCGCGCAGAAAGGACGACAAGAGAGCGAAGGTCAACAGGTAACCAACCAAGGACGAGGAACAGCTGCGGGGACCGAGGTGGTGAGCGAGAACGTTCACGCCTCGGTACAACACAGAAGACCGGACCGACCGGAGACGCAAAGAGCGACGGGGTACAAACGGGCGGACGTAGCCGAGAAACGATGGACACTCGGACGGACTGTCGAGACAGTCGACCCGCTGCAAGCCAGTCGGGGCGGGTGGCTCGTCAACGTGCTCGAAAAGTTCGAGCCCGAGGCGGCGTGCCGTCTGCACGGGTAAACACACGAGTTTCTCAGCCGGGAAAAACACCGCGGACCCTTCGCGTTCGCCTGCGCGCACGGTGACGAACTCCATGGCTTCGAGAACAGAAATCAAGACAGGATGCTGCGTGCCCGAAGCTGCGGAAAGCATACGCATAGGAGCAGACCGGCTGTTGGACACGGACACGAGACAAAGACTACTGTGGAAGGTCTCTGAATCCGATTCTTTTTACAACTCAAGGGTGGGTGGGTGGGAAACAAGTCTCACTGCCCAGAGGTTTGAAAAGGGGTAGTGCGACTTTAGGCCATGCCATGGACCTTTTGATTCATGCCAGTGCTTACAGTTTGGGTGTAAAACGTTCTGCCATCAAACTGCCTTGGGAGTTGGATCACAACAATGCAATTTTTGGCAAACGTCCCAAGTTGATTTCTCCTCCAGTTTTTGCCCCCTTGACGGAAGTTGAAGAGGAGACACTCTTCTTGCCACGAGAAGAGAAGGAGGGCAGGATACGCTGGTCAAAGCGGACATCGGTCGTGCCTTGGTCGGTCGTGCCTTGGCCGATCGCTCAGGAGAGATCATTGGCACGTGCACTGGAATCTTGGAGGGTCATTGTCATGGACAATCTTGAAGGAACTCTGGTGGGGCGGCAGATTGCGAAGTCCCTACTAGGGGATACAACAGCACCTTCAGTGGAGAAAACCATCAGCGATGCTCTTGCAGGAAAAGCCATTTCCACTTTGAGGGCTAGGTCGTCGTCAATCATGTCCTTTGGTAGGTGGAAGAAGAGCTTGGATGTCAGCGCAGCCATTTTTCCTGTCACAGAACCAGAGGCGTACACATATGTGAGGGAGTTGAGAGAGCACAACGCTCCACAGACAAAGGCGGCTCGTTTCCTGGAGGCACTGAGTTTTTCTCACCACATGTTGGGAGCAGATGTGGACAATGCAATGCAATCACCAAGAGTTCGAGGGGCTGCTATCACACCCTTGGTATTGCCCCGGAAGAAGACTCCTCTTACATTTCCTCAGGTCGCCATGTTTGAGAGACTGGCCATAGATGACGCTGGACAGGTGGGCATTTTTGCTGGGTACCTTTGCATGGTCCTTCACATGCGTTTGCGCTGGTCGGATGGACAATACAGCCAGCACGAGCCAGTCACTGACATTTTTCAGGGTAGGGGTTTCTTGGAGTGCCAGTTGTACCACCACAAAAACGCCGGCCGTCAGAAGCAGGCAAAGAGGTTGTTGCCGGCTGCCTGCGTGATTCCTGGCTTCAGTGGTGAGGATTGGGCAACTCCATGGCTGGAGCATCGATGCAACTCGGGGCTGAAGGCCGGTCCAGGCCTACCGACCATGCCTGCACCGCTGGCCGCAGGAGGTTGGGCGTTGACGCCACTTGACTCAAGTCAAGCTACATTGTGGATGAGGGAGCTTCTGAGGAATTTTCATCCCCCTCCAGCCTTGATGGATATCGCTACACACTCCTTGAAGGCAACCATCCTGAGCATGATGGCGAAGGCAGGTTGCAGTGGAGACCTGAGACGACTGGCCGGGTACCACGTGGACCCTGGTGCAAAGATGGCGCTGGAGTACAGCAGAGATGCTCAGGCGCCGGTCCTTCACGCCATTGAGGCGATCTGCCTGGCGGTACAACAGGGACTATTCGACCCGGACACAACGAGGTCGAGAAGGTGGCCGCGTGTGGGTTGCAACACTGGAGCAAGCTATGAACATTTTGCCCACAAGGACTGCAGAAGACAGCTGGTATCTGACGGAAAACGTTCCGTGGGAAGAGCCTGGTGAACATGACCAGGCTGTGAACGTCGAATGGGTGGAGATGGGATCAGAGCCATACTCCCCGTCAAATGGAGATGCAGTGGATGATGATGAGGCAGCATCCCTTTCGTCACTGAGCGACCTGGCTGAGAGACCACAGTTTGTGGACCCTGGACAGGAGACATCTGATGAGGAAAAGGAGGCCGAGTTTGCGGCCCCAATCGTGGGTGAAGAATGGCCCACTCTATAGACAGTCAAATTACAGAGACGGTCTACAAACACCGTGTGAGCGGTTGCTGCCACATTGCAAAGGGAGGTGCCACAGACGATGATGATGGGGAAGCTGTGGTGCTTCGGTGTGGCAAGATTGCCAGCCGGAACTACGAAGAAGTTCATTTGGCCGGGAACTTTTTGCCTTATAAGTGTTCAAGATGCTTTGCAGGTTGACTTCAGTGAGTAGTCTTTTTTGTGCAGTCTTGTACATTAACTTCATGTCAACTCGCAGGCTACCAGAATGCAAGGTAATAATCAAACCCACCTTTCGCGTGGCAGTTGAGTTGAGTCTGTTGTCAGAGTGCCATACCAGTTGGCGCGCGACAGCGCAAGGGCCGATAGCCGTGCTCTCAGTTGAAAGGGTCCCTTTCTTTTTCTTGTATCAATTTTTGGCTGTGATTTTCAGTTTGCCGAAATTGTGAGACTTGCATGTGTCACGTTTTTGCATTCAATCAACTTGTCAGCACTTGCACGGCAGTTAGTCCTGTTTCACGGCATGTAGCGGTGTGACATCCTTCAGTGGAAGTCGGGTCCCTAGTCGCGGGGTCTCTGGTTGAGTTGAGATTCTAACTTGGCTTGTCACCCCGTTGTTTTTTTTTTTTGGTTGTGATGTTACAGTCATACAATTGTGAGCGAGTGGACCTCAGTGCAATCTCTGGGCAAAGGCCTGGCACTCAGAGTGGGTTCATCGACAACAAGTAATGTTACAGCCTGCCGTGATTTTGGTTTCATTGCCGTGTATGTTCTGATGTGTTTTTTTCATTTCACGTGTTGGTTGAAACAAGATGGTGTGACTGTCGAGTGTACCTGCATTGAGTTGTGAGTAGGGTTCAGCTTGGTTTCACGGAGGGTTACCGAACAACCTCTTGAAGGGTGGTCTGGACAGCTGCAAGACGTAGGAAGGTTGCAGATAGCGTGGCTGGCCAGCCACCACCACCTGGCAGGGCACCCAACAGTCCGTTGAGTCACCAGTTTGAGTTTGTTTTATTCTGCATTTGCATGTGTGTTGTCAAACCTTTTTGTGCAGTCAGATGAAGTTTGATGTGCCGGATTTCATGTTCATTTATGTAACTGTTTGAGCAATTGGTCTTGAGTGCGACGCTGCGTTGACTCATGCGGTTGACGGTGACGGCAGACGTCCCGTTGTAGATGCAGCCCAGCTCGAGCATAGGAACGGCCAAGGGGCCACAGCGGAAGAGGACTCTGCTGCGACTTTAAAAGAAAGCTAACAGGTGTGCTTGTTAATTTTCCTTTGTTTAAGGTGGGCTGTGTAAGACGCTTCACATCAGTTGCTTGCAGTTGAAACAGTTTCAATTTTGTCGGGATTGCATCAGTTGCCACACATGCACCGAAGACACCATGTGCCATCATTTGTTTCTCACGGGCAAGCCAGAACACGGTTGTGAATTGAGGGCTCGCGGAAGTGCGGGCTCTAGTGCAGTGAGCTGCATCAAGAGGTATGAAACATGCAGTTGTCGGCAAAGAGATTTTTATTTTTGTCACAGGCAGCTGATGACGTTTGAGTAGTTTGAACGTATCAGATCCAGCGTAACTCATTGATGGATGTCCAGCTTTCTGCACTGCATGGAGTTTGCGTGAATAGAAGGTGGTTCATACCGTCTTGCGGTCACTCATGTTTCAGTTGTTCATTTTTGTTTTTCAACACTCAGCCTTTAGTGGCGGCCTGGCCATGTCTCTGGTGGACAGCACCGCTGTCTTTGAGGGCAGAGCTCGAACCATAGGGTTGACAGATGACGTGATTCAAGCGTTGGGCCTGCGGGGGTGGACGACACACGCCACCTTCGCATTTGCTGTGGCGACACAGCCTGGTGCAGATGAACAGGCCTTTGCAGACGGGGTTCTGATACCCGTGTTGGGCCAAGCGGATCATGTGGCGGCTCCCAAGTTGCGGCGCCTATTTTTTGAGGCGCATACTTTGACCTCGGCTGACCTGAGGAGGAAGGTCGATTCAACAGAACAGGAAGCTCCTAGGAAGCTGCCGGCTCCAGAGATATCGCAGCGGCTCACCTTGTTACAAGCCAGGATCAATCCCATCTTGATTGCCAATGTGCTGGAGCCGTCCCATCACTTGATCAACGCAATTGTTCAGTGTGTGGAGGATGGTCGGATCCGCTACATAGAGTGGGCCAAGTGTACCTCCAGAACTCAGGAAGTGAACAACGTGAAGGAAGATGGTGGTATGAAAATTTGGAAGACAGACAGCTCTGGAAACATCAAAGCAGCGCCGCAGGAACCGGCGATTACCGCCAACTTGGCCTCCGAGCTGGATGTTCACAATGCGCTGAGGCGCAGAGGAGTGGCGTATGAAGTGGCTCAGGCCATGAGCTTTGAGGTGCATGAGCGAGTGATTAACTTCCTCTTCTTTGAGCTGAAAAAGGAGCCCTTGGAAGGTTTTGCTGCGGTGTCCTTGCAGCAGTTGGCAGCGGCCGATCGTGAACTGCATGTGCGCCTTGCTGAGCGCACCAGAGCTGGTTTGGTGCCGGGGCCAAATGGTGAATTGCCGCTGGACTTGAGCACCATTGAAATACTGGAGGGGCCTGAGCTACGATGGATGCTGATGCCATTGCCCAAACGAGGTACGGCCAAGACTTCAGGCCCTGAGGTGCCAGTCATCAAGGACAAACCGGAGCCCAGCACCAAAAAGAAACCTGACACGAAGAAGACTCGGGCCAATGCCACCAACCTCAAGAAGTTGAGGCGCACTCCCATGCCGAAGCAACTTGTGGGAGGGGTGCCCTGTGATGATGAGGGCAACCCTTTTTGCTTCGCCTTCAACTTGGGGACCTGCAAGAGTTCTGGTGATTGCCCTAAGGGGGCACACACGTGCTGCAAAAAGGGTTGCGGAAAGAGGCACTCCTTTATTTCAGCACACAAGCAGTCGGCCTGACTAGGCCTTGAAAGTACGGGCGAGGGTCCGTTGGTGGCATTGTTGCGAAAGCGCAGCAAGGCCGCTCAAGATGAAAGCCATCTTCGAGCCGAATCACCTCTCAAGCGAATGCGCTTGGACGCTGGTTCAAAACCTGTCGAAGGACAGGCATCATTTCAGACGGGCGAAGACAAAGGGTCGCCCCATGATTTTCAGGCTGGGTTTCAAGAAGTTGACAACGCCAGCGAACCGGCGGTGAAAGCACAACCAGGCCGGAAACTTTTTCTTTTGGATTTGTTTTGTGGAACGGCAGGTGTCGCAGCTGCTTTTCAAACGCTGGGTGGTGAAGCATTGGGATTGGATCATTTAATCGACAAACGTCGAGTCAAGGGGCCAGTGGCCAAGGTGGATTTGTTGACAAAGGAAGGACAACAAACAGTGGAGCAGTGGATGACAGAGGGCAAAGTAGATTGCGTCATGTTGGCGCCTCCATGCGGCACTTCTTCAAGGGCTAGGGAGATTCCTATCCCAAGACGGATGAGGCTTAGAAGTGGCATGCAGCCTCAGCCTTTGCGCAGTGACCACTTCCCAAATGGACTTCCTTGGCTCAAAGGAGTTGCGAAGCTGAAGGTGCAGTCTGCAAATTCACTGTACCGTTTTGCAAGGAGAGTTATTGAACTGTGCATCTCCCTGCAAATACCTTTTATTTGTGAGAACCCAAAACGGTCGTTAATGTGGCTGACTGACGCCTTTGAGCATTTGCCTGAACAATGTCGTTTTCAATACATTCATGCTTGTATGTATGGGAGCAGACGCCGAAAGAGCACGGCCTTACTTTTGAACTTCACAGCTCCAAATCTGCAGTCGGAATGCGATGATTCTCATAGCCATTTGCCTTGGGGAATGGTTGACCAACAGGATGGAAAAGGCTTGAAATTTTCTACAAGCCTTGAGACTGAGTACCCGCTGCAGTTATCACGTCACCTGGCAGTGGCTTTTATGGAAGCTTTGAACGCACAAGGCAAGTTTTTGACCAGTCACAATGTGCAAGAGGACCAGATCCAGCGTATTGGAGCTGGGACACAACCACGTGGTGTCAAATCGCCCATCCTCATGAGCGAGTTCAAATGCAAGGTGGACGTAACTTCCCATGATGTCGAAGTTCCCCAGCACATTGGTGACTCTGTTTCTTTTCCTTTTCAGGGCATTCCCATCAATTCGAAACTGATTGCTTCTCGAAACGTGGTCTGGAAAGGGGTGGATGGCGAGAAGCAGCAGGGCCAGAAGTCAACATTTGGCGTTTTCTTCTCCCCTCTGGAGTTTTTCAAGAGGACGCTTGAGCTGGAACACCCGCTGGACACCCCACAACTGGTGGACAGAAGTAACTTGAGAGCTATCTGTTTTATTCGTGACCATAGCATTGCAGATGTGAAACTTTTCCGCGCCAGACAACTAAAGCGCTTCACCGAGAGGGCAGCCGCTCTAGCTGGCCAAGAGAAGCATCTGAAGGAATCCCTTGATCCGGATGTGCGCAAAGTTCTGGAGAGCAAGCGCCTACTACTTTTCCAGGAGATGGCACAGGAAGCAGGCGTGGGGGATGAGACGTTATTTGATGAGCTTAAGTCTGGTTTTGGTCTTACAGGGCGCATGCCGCCGTCAAATCAATTTCCTGCTAAGCTGAAGCCTGCGACGATTTCAGTCTCCCAGTTGAAGGAGTCGTCCGTTTGGGCTCGAAAGGCGATACACGCTTCCTGCAGGCGTGTTGGTAACGATCCTGAGATAGCCGCGGCAGTTTATGAGGAGACGACGCAACAGCTGGAGGATGGGTGGGCCACAGGACCTTTCACAATGGAGCAGCTTGACCAACGACATGGAGGGTGCTGGGTTCCTTCCAAACGCTTTGGGGTCAGACAAGGCCCAAGCAAGATCCGGGCTGTGGATGATTTTTCTGAATTTTTGGTCAACGCTTCAGTGACGGCAACAGAGAAGCTGCAGCTATTTGGAATTGACGAGGTGGTAAATACAGCACGGACTTTTCTGGGATGTGATGCTCTACAGGTAGATGATGACTTCAACGCCCTCAGGTGTGACCCAAACTGGGGTAGCTGCACAGGGCCATGGCGAAATCTCAGTGGACGGGCTTTGGATTTGAAGGCAGCTTATAAACAGCTGGCTAGGAGCCCTGCTGACTCTTGGGCTTCCATTCTCGCAGTTTGGAATCCTTCTACTTCTTCTGTGGAATTCTTTGAGTCCATCTCGCTTCCCTTTGGTTCAGTATGTGCTGTGATGTCATTCAACCGCATGGCTAGGGTGCTCAAGCTCATTATGTCGGAGCTTTTCATGCTGGTCAATACAAATTTCTTTGACGATTTTTGTCAACTGGAAGTGGACGGTTTGTGCCAGTCCGCTTGGGAGACAGCCGAGATGGTCATGAAGCTTCTTGGATGGCGGATTTCAGCTTCAGATGACAAGCGCCTCCCCTTTAACAGCCAGTTCAACATGTTAGGTGCAGTGATTGATTTGTCAGGCCCTTCGCGGGGAACCATACTGGTGAAGAACAAGGAAAGCCGGATCAATGACATTAGGTCTCTGGTAGAGTCTGTGTGTGAAGCTGACTCTGTCACGGCATCTACTTTGGAAACCCTGAAGGGGAGGCTATTGTACGCGGCAGGGCACACTTTGGCAGATGCACCCAGCTTGCCCTGCAGCTCATTGCCAGGGTAACTCACAGAGGTCCTCTCATTCTTTTGGACAACAGAGCAAAGCTGGCGCTGCGAGATGCTTTTTCTTGTTTAGCAGAATCAGGGCCCAGGTCAGTGCAGGCGTGGTCAGGCCGTCGACCACTGGTCATTTTTACGGATGGTGCTTGCGAGGAAAACGGTGAGCTGGTGACTCATGGTGCCGTCCTTTTTGACCCGGTGTCCTCCTCCTCTTACATGTTTGGTGACAAGGTACCTATTGAATGGTTGGATCAGTGGAGGAGGGAAGGAAAACGACAGATGATTTGTCAGGCTGAGATTTTCCCCATACTGGTTGCAAAGATGACCTGGGGTTCTATAATCAAGGGCCGTTCGATCCTGTGGTTTATTGACAACAATTCAGCGTTGGCCTCAATGATCAGGGCATACTCACCTGTGCTCGAGAATTACGACTTGCTCAGGCTGAACGCCAGATTGGATGTGCAGTTGCAATGCCTCAACTGGTACTCCCGTGTTCCATCAAAGTCCAATATCAGCGACGATGCGTCACGTCTTCAATTTGCAGCCCTTGAACGACTTGGCTTCCAAAGATGCAATCCCATATACGATCCTCACTAGTGTTGGTGAAATGGGGTGGAGGCGTGAGGATAAAGATCTGATCGCAAAGCTTGGGTGCTCCGACTCCCCATTATCCAAAAGAAGAATGTGAGAAAATGCGGTATCGGTTTTTGCAGCTGAACAGTCGTTTGTTTTCAGAGTGTCAGCCACGTGAGTGCATGTCGTCGTTGATGTTTGTATATATATATATATTATTGAGTTAATATATATATATATTTATATATATATATATCTTTAGAATTTTTAATTTTAAGTTTGGATGCAATTTTGAGAAATTGTACTGTGCGTTTTTTGTAGTAAAGCGGAACGCGCAACAGGGACGCGGTGCTAGGTACGCTAGGAGGTTGAGGTGAACGGCTGTTAAATAAGTTGCGCCTCACTTTAGTGTGGAGCCTTTATTTGACTAGTTCACAGGTGGGAAGCCACCGTCCTCTTTCCTCCTACGCGTGCGTTGCGTCTCCCGCGTCCTTATGCATTCGGGTTCAGTGGTGTGCCTCTGCAACCTTACCTGAAACAACTCACAACTTGGAAAAGGTGTTTTCCGTTTTTAAACAGTTTTGGTTTTCTGTGTGCAGTCTTCCTTAACTGTTTTCGGTTGTGCTCTCTTCGCAACTTGTGTGTGCTGAAGTGGTTGTTTATTTGAAGGTCTCTGAATCCGATTCTTTTTACAACTCAAGGGTGGGTGGGTGGGAAACAAGTCTCACTGCCCAGAGGTTTGACCCGCCCGCCCTAAAAATTCCCCCTCCGGGCGTGAGGATAAAGATCTGATCGCAAAGCTTGGGTGCTCCGACTCCCCATTATCCAAAAGAAGAATGTGAAAAGAAGCGGTATCGGTTTTTGCAGCTGAACAGTCGTTTGTTTTCAGAGTGTCAGCCACGTGAGTGCATGTCGTCGTTGATGTTTGTATATATATATATATTATTGAGTTAATATATATATATATATATCTTTAGAATTTTAATTTTAAGTTTGGATGCAATTTTGAGAAATTGTACTGTGCGTTTTTTGTAGTAAAGCGGAACGCGCAACAGGGACGCGGTGCTAGGTACGCTAGGAGGTTGAGGTGAACGGCTGTTAAATAATTCGTTTTATCGCATGCTTTTGATTGGGATGCAGTGGATTTTCCACTGCTTCCGTGTGCAAATCGATTCTGTGGGTGTTTTTGTTTGGGCTCTGGCCCCGTTTTTGTGGTTTGGTGTTTTTGTGCTTTTTGCTTCGCTTTTTCCGCTGGCGAAACGCAAGTCTGGCTGGGGGATTTGCGGGTCGTCGCTTTTTGTGTGGTTGTTGTTTCTTTGTTTTGGTTCAATCGATTTGCTGATTTCAAGGACTGTGCGTATTGTACAGAGTTTTTGCTGCTTACTCTCATGTAAGGACCGAGCCATTAGCGCGACATCGGCCACACTCGAGGGAAAAAAAAAAAGCCGATATAGGCACAAACACAACTGTGGTACGTTCACCATACGGGCCCACATATCGTATACGCTCCTTCCACCACGCAGCGACCATAGGCCAATGGCTTAGCCCTGTGGTGCTGGACACAGTCGCTGCCAACAGATCTCGATTGTCAGTGATGAGGTAGACTGTTTGGAAGGCTAAAAATTCATCAGCTTGGCTGATAATCCATCGATACAGGCTATGCCACACTGGTCCTGGAGTTACTTCCACGCCATCCACAACCTTTATCTCATAATCGTGCCGATCGGGGTCCCCGGACTTCTTGTGGGGGTCTCCAAACCGCCACTGTTGATGCACCGACTGATTCAAGCCGTACTCCGTCGAAATGTCTTTGTAGAGGCCTAAGGCTTCCAACAGGTCATCAAATTTCGCTCGGGGATCAGCTTCAAACCAGTGGTGTTGCGCTTGCTGCCTAGTAAGGAGATCCATGATAGGGCTGGGTGGCAAAGCCCCTGGACCAGTCTACGGCCAGAGACAGTGCTGAACTGCTATCGATTGGGGGGGCCAGGGAGGTGATACCCCTGACCAGTCTACGGCCAGAAGTACCACACTGGAGTCTTTGCGGGGGATATAATACTCTGCAATGATGGACCCAGATGGCAAGTGCCGAGCCAAAAGCACAAACAAGCAAGAGGAAAGGAAGGGACGATGCTGGAAATCCTGGACCAGTCTACGGCCAGAGAGACCAGGCACCAGACCCAAGGGTACAAAAAACCAAAAATGGCAAATGACAAAGAAGATCCTAGGTAAACAGAAACAACCAGCAAAGTAGGGCAAGCCAATAGCCCCGGAGGCAAACGAACCGATACGAAAAGTACCACGAAAAGGAGGAAACGAGGGGGAGGGAAAAGGGGGCAGGAACGCCCAACACAGGCCCAATGCCAGAAAGGGGAGAAACCCAAGTAAAAGGAGCCAGGAAAGCGGGAAAAGAGACAAACAAATCAAACAAGCAACACCAAGAAGAGGGGTGAGGCACTGACAGTCCTGAGCCAGTCTACGGCCAGAAAAGTCAGGTACCTACAAATCCCAGTAAGAGAGAAAAGAGCCGGTGCAGTAGGTAGGAGAGGATGATACAGCCGAAAAGGCACCCAGCACAAGCGAAGCAACCCTAGCAACAGACTGAAGGAAGCAAGGGACAGTTGCCAGAATACTGTGCCAAGGTGAACTCTGTTCCAGGGCAAAGGGATACACCTCTATTGTCTAACTTGAGCCAAAATGGCTACGGGCCCAATCCAGTGCACTGAACATCCAGGGACCCTGGGTCAGCGGGATTGAGTTGCCAGGTGGTGTTATCCATGATAATGATCTTCCAATCAGTGTATTGAGGATCGGCATGGCTGGCAAGAACTTCGTTAATGGCCAGTTCTGCGTTGCCAGGGTCAATTCCCAGTCGTTGCTGCAGTGCTTCCAGAAGAGGGAGAATTTGGGCAGTGGGCAGTTGGAGGCTAGCTTGCTGTCCGCAGAGGACGTGGGCGGTCTGGCAGGTCTGGGGCCAGGGTGTGTGGTCGTTGTTGTAATTAGGGACTTCCACTGGCGTCCAGAGGCTCTGGAGCAGCAATACCTGCGTCTTGGTAAGGCTGCGCTGTCGTGAGACGTGTGGTCTTGCTACTAATTTACTTCCTCTGACGAAGTCGCAGCCTGTGGGGTGTGTCCATAGCGGGGGTGCTTCGTCAACCCCTATGAGCGAAACAGCAAGTGGTTGCAGCCCTTTACTTTGCCACTGTTGGAGCTTTTGCCCGAGGCCTACTTTGCTCCCATGGAAGGCATGTACTATTGGTGGCAGGCTGTACCCATTGTCTAACTCCTTGCTTTGAAAAAGCTTATCCCCCGGGAGGCAGAGTATGGGGACGTTGGCCGGGAAAACAGACATGGGGGAGAGTGCTCCCTGTTCGAATATGGGACGAGCCCAGGTGAGGAAGGGCGGGGTTCGCTCGACAAAATCCGGTCGTAGGTAGCGACCATCTCCGTGACGCGGCCATTCACCTTGCTCAGGGATAGGGAAGCAAACGAATTATAGCACCCAGACTTGTGAGACATGCAACTGCGTCTTAAGTTCTGCCACTTCTGCAACTTTTGAAAGGTCGGCAGCACTCGGCCTGGCAAGAAGAACGGGTGAGGGCTTTTTCAACCTTCAGGTGACCTGTAATATCATCATATGGTCTCTGCTTCTTTGCATATGAAGCAAGTGGCCAATGTCTAAACTCTGAACGCAGCGAGGCTTCTGCTGTCCACATGGCCTCTCCAGCCCCTTCCCACAAGCTCTGGCCAATTCATCTGAGTTTTAGCCTGCTTTGCGCAGAATTTTTCAGTACTGTCTGGAAAAAAACAAGACTCTTGTACTGCTCTTCGAAGCATATCCACATGACCTTTTGAAGCAGCTGGGTGCGTTCCGAGCGTCATGTCGCAACCCCGATTGCCACACGCTCCAACGCGTGGATTTGGCGCCCGTTTTTGGTCTCGCCTGCTGTCTAAAATAGAAATTGAAAACAGCCTCGAAATGACCCTGTCCAGAGCGAAAAGCGGTGCGTGTGGCAATCCCATTTTTGGCAGTGTGGAACCTTGTGACCTGCTCGAAACACGAAGCTCTTTACATTACGCAAGTAAATCAAAAGTTGTACGAAATGCAGAAATATGTGGCAGGGCCAATACAAAATCCGTGGAGTAATTTCGGCCCGTTTTAAGAATACACTGTTATTTATGGTGGAATAGAATTACTGCACGGCCAGTTCAATCCGGAGGAAACCCACACACAGACACACCAGGCGTTAAGAGTCTACGGGGTGGAGGGGTTGGACGCCGCACTACCCCCTGACATCTCATAGCCGAGCCTTCACTCTTGGGTTCTGCCACTTCTGCAACTTTTGAAAGGTCGGCAGCACTCGGCCTGGCAAGAAGAACGGGTGAGGGCTTTTTCAACCTTCAGGTGACCTGTAACATCATCATATGGTCTCTGCTTCTTCGCGTATGAAGCTGCAAGTGCCCAATGTCGGAACTCTAAATGTAGCAAGGCTTCCACAATTGAAAAGACGTGAAAAATCGAACGCGCCGGTGCGGGATCTATCTGAGAGGCCTCGTTTGCACAACATCCAACACTGAAATTCCGGGGTGAGATTGCTGCAGATGGCGCAGCTCTACCAAAAAGCAATACTTTTGCAAGTGTAACGGAATGGCAGGATTCCGGGAACACGGTTGCTGATTGAAGGTCTCTAGCCCCGCCTGCATGTCGCCAGCCTGCCAAAGCACCATTTTGTTTGGAATTGTTTGGGTGTTGTTGTTGCAGGGTTTCGCAACATGGCGTGGGTGAGGACATTGCTGGCGGGATGCTTTTCTGTGTTTGCGTTTGCACTGCTCAGTTTTGTTTTGGTCTCTTGATGCGTTGTTTGTTTTTGGGCTCGCTTCCTTCGCCCCCCTAGACTCCTAACGCGGCAACTTTGCGGGTCGGGTTGTGTATGTCGCCGGGAGTTCAGTATCATCCGGTTAAAGAATAATAGTATATATTTAAAACCGGATGAATCCTTTGTTTACATTGGGGGAAGAGATTCGATTTCATGACCCCAGCAGATTCCGTAAGAGGCTGGAGATGCAAAACTTCGATTTTACCACAGTTTTGTGCCAGTTCTGATATCTTCAGCTGCGGAGTCTTGCCGGAGTCGGGCGGAGTCGGTACACCTGCTGAAACCCTATTTACAATGGGGAAAGGGTTGAAAGATTCCAACTTTGTGACTCCAGACGACTCCGCAAGAAACCGCAAGATGCGCAAGATAATGCCACTGAACTGTTCGATTTGTTTGATGCCTATTTTTGGGGTTGGAAAGGTATATAGAATTTGGACTCCCAAGGCGGTCCTCCCCAGTTCAGCACGTGGATGTTTGTGTCATCCTTCCTGCCTTTTGTGGTTTCATGTTTTCTGGCGAACTTTTGAAGCAGCTGGGTGCGTTCCGAGCGTCATGTCGCAACCCCGATTGCCACACGCTCCAACGCGTGGATTTGGCGCGCCCGTTTTTGGTCTCGCCTGCTATTTAAAATAGAAATTGAAAACAGCCTCGAAATGACCCTGTCCAGAGCGAAAAGCGGTAGCGCGTGGCAATCCCATTGTTGGCAGTGTGTTGCGCAAGTAAATCAAAGTTGGGTTTTGTTCAAGCAGCAAGCCTTCAACGCAACTGTACCTCGACAGTAAGTGTTGGAACAGGGAGTGCTATGTTAGAATCGCTTTTTGCCCCTCAGCGTGCAGAATTAGGCTGCTCAGGTTTCGCACCGGCAGCTTGGCCCTGCCGGAGTTTTTGTCTGGGCCCGCAGTGCCGGCCCCCTCGGGACGGCACTGCTGCGAACAATTTCATTGACCTACTTGTGTCTGACGACAGAGCTAAGACTTGTCTCCGCATTTTTGTGGACTTCTGCGGACTGGAGGGGCACCCTTCATGACCCGTTAAGCCTCCCTTAAGCCCCCCCTTAAGCCCCCCCTTCAAGCCCCCCCGAACATGCAAAAATCGATTTCTTCCTTTGAGACACTGGCTCAAATTGCACTGCTGTTTGTGACTTCAAAAGTCCAGCACATCGAATGCCCATTTGCCTGAAGAGTCTCAGCGACAACAGCGGTGCAGAATCTGGTAGTAATAAACTTTGGAGCATGACCTATCCTCTATCAACTTTTCTGGAACGAATGCGTCTTTTATCGGCGATGTTAGGCATGGAAATCGATGTCAATCACACCCCAGGCTCACAAAATATTTTGGCAGATGACTTGAGTCGTTGGGATCAAATTGGACCACAACCTCACTAATTTCAATTGAAGGATCGTATCCGCATTCCACTGACTGAACTTTGGCATATCCGTACCTCTCCGACTTTAATTCCGAAAGCAGCTTCAATTCCCTGGACATTACCAAGTGTTTGATTCCTTTTCGGTTGCTGGAATTCCCTCACTTTTCAATTTGGGTGCTTTGGGCGAGTTGAACTCCCAGCTAGTTGTTTTAGGGGTTTGAAACCCATCTGTCAATTCAACCAAATAAAATAGTTGGTTGGAACTTCGGATACAAATAAACCCAGCAAGCGAAAAAGGAATATTAATTAAGACCGAGCGCTGTGAACAGTTTGTCAAACTTGAGGTTTGAACTTGGAAGCTTTGTTTTTTGGTAATTGGGAAACATAGTCATATTACATGTCTATACCTGTTTATATATATATATATATCTAGATGAATATAATTTAGAAGATTGAAGTCCATGTAGAACAGATTAAAAGTTCACCAAAGATGATGAACGAATGGATGCTGAAGGTGCTACAAGATTTAACAGTGCATCGGAAATTGTTTGACATTACGCCAGAATTGCCTGACTGTCAGTGTGTCACAGGGATTGGTGTATTTCATGCAGCAACAAACAAAAGCAGGGTGGCTCTACGTCCACCACATCCGTTCCTACTTGCTGTCCGAATGCACCAAGCCTTTTGTTGGAAACACACACCAAAAGGCAAGAGTGTATTCAACATTGACAACAACGAACCAGAGAACAAGTATAAGGTGGAAAATGGCGATGTCCTTTGAAAGAGGCCGTCTCTTATGGTGATAATGGAGAAGATCACACTTCAAGTCAGCCAGCTCAGCCCAGATCATCGTTCGAGAAATCCATCGTGCTGACCTTTGTTCAAAGTGAATATATAACAACGATGGTTGGAGGAGTAAGTGAAGGACATGCAGCCTCGTTGGAAGTTCCCTGCAGGAGACTTGGCAGATTTTGTTCGCAGATCAGATTCATCAGCAGCAAGGGCTTTGACGCAAAGTATTGGAGATGGCAGATCGCGGCGCGTTGCTGCGAACATATTTTGGTTCCAGCGGGAAGTGTCTTTGACGGTCTCTTCCGGCGGCCTTTAGTCCGCCCAAAACGAGGGCGACATACTTGTCCACAGCCAGACTGAAGGGTCTGAAACCCATCACCAAGATGGTCACTGGCGATGAGCAGAAGGTGGCCAAAGAGGAGTATGAAGAGATGAAAGCAAAGAACGGACGAGAAAGGCGCCACTGAGGATATGATGCTTTGATTTGTCATGGGCACCTTGGGCGCAGCCATAGCATGTGACAGCGAAAACAACAGCAAGAGGAGAGCCCAGTGTCTGAAGAAACCGAGCAGGAGGTCGACCATTGGAAAGGTCGATGTGGAAGGATGAAAACCAAAAGAAGGAATTTGGGACAGGAATGCAAGAGGTTATTGCGGGAAAAAAACACAGGGCAATACTCTTGTGTTAGCCGAGACAAAGATATACATATGCATTCAGGCCCAAAGGACATGGAGGCAGAGTCGTGAGAATGAGAGGCGTGAGGTGTAGAAACATGAACTGAAGAGATGATGAGAAAGGAGGAAACATTGAGCGAATTGAAAATGAAGAGGCCAGACCCAGCACCAAATGGAAAGTTCAAACAGGCAGAAACGGACATGAACAAATGGAGGGTGAGAGAGTAAATGATTTGCGTGGCGTGGGCGTTTCATTGAAAGCGAGAATTGAGACAAACAAATGAGATTGTGACCAGCGGCGGAAGCAAGTATCGCGACGAAAATTGCAAGAATCTCATTGGGAATTATTCAAAGGGCCGTAAAGGAAAAACAAAGCAAAATGGGTGTCCTTTTTCCTATACCAGTGCACCTTGATGAATAGCGGGAAAGGATGTAGTCAATTTATCAAGAGATGTGGTGGACAAACTTTGCAAAAACCGTGCTCCATGCTGCATGAAAGTCGAGATCCTTGCGCTTCAGAAACGTGAAGTCTTATCATGCCACCAGTTTGTCCAGAATATTCTGGGGTCTAGTCTAGACTGTATAGAATGGTGGCAAGCCCGCGGGCCAATTGCAACCTGAAAGGTTCCGATGTTTTGGTCGCATGGATTCAATCAACACCGGGTTGGCGACTTTTATTCTTGCATTTGGTGGAGGTGATGTTCATTCAGTTGAACTTGAAAAACTGGACATAGTTTACTTCAGATGGATGCATTATTGAACATTGGTGCAGCACTGTGGTTTGTATGCTTGTGAGTTGATGGTGTGTGGTTCGCGTGCAATTTTTTTTTGGTTTTGGTGACGATGATGTTTCTGTTCATCCTCTGCTGCAATTTGAAAAGATATCGCCTCAAAAAATCGGATGTGGCAAATTGTTCCGGACACTAGCACGGGTAAATTGGAGATCCAAATATGGGCGTCATTGAAATTGAAATGTAATGCGAACAAGAAAACAATCAACAAAAATCGCATCGTAGCAACCATTTTGTGGTTTTTTATCGGTTTAACAGCTAGATCGATCTACGTTTTACTTGTTCAACTTGAGAACCGGGTGGCTTTGTTTGCCGGAAATTATCATTTGGGTTTTTTTGACCCGAATTGATCATTTCTGTTGATGGTCAATGCATGATCTGTTTGTGGCACTTCATGAAACCATTTTGTGTTTTTTGTGGCCGGAATTGGTGTAGATTCATTTTTCTTTTTTGTCCGATGACCACACAATTTTGCTGTCGGTTCGGGTTGGTCCATGTTGGTGGCAGTTCGCCAATGTTTTTTGATCAAACTGCGGGCACATTGGGCCAAATTTAAACCTCAGAGCCTCACAGTGTATGTTTGCTGTTGGGCACATGATTTTTCGTATTAGTTGTGGAGCAAAAGGGTTCGGCATATACAAATTTAAATCACATCATCAATGTTGTGTTTGTGACGGTCTGTGAAACACCACATTGGTTATTGCATGTACGGTATCAATGCAGTTTCTCCTTATATAGTTTCTTTGGATTTGAATAAATTTCATGAAACCTGATTGTAACACACATCACATGTCACGTATCCAAACAACGATTCTCCAATATAATCCTCACTGTATTTATGAGACATCAGTGTGCCAGCACAGGTGCTTGCAATTAGTGTAGTCACAACGCATGTACTTCCGAGGTGATGTCGAAATTCAACAAAAATGGTTCCATTCAAAACCCGTGGGCCACCCATGGCAAACAAAATTGGGATGTCATGGCTTATACGAAACTGCAACAAGCTGCATGCATCGGCCCCTCGGCAAAAAGTGGCAGAGAGCAACTTTGTGTGACCAGTCAAAAAAATCACTTCATTCCATCCCCCGTCTGTTTTTGATTTCAATTTGGCGGTTGAGCACTGAGAATGGTTTTCAAATTTCAATGCGGAGGAGATCTTTTGGTTTTGAATGTTGATGCTGTTGGTTGTTTCTCCAAGGAGATGGTGCTGTTGTGCGTGAATTGCTTTCCCAACGCGCTGCAGTACACGAGCGTGGCTGTGCAGGTGTGCTGATTTTGGGGATCTGAATTGTTTGTTTTGTTTGACCTGCTTGGTTTGCAGGTCTGAGTCTTTACCCAATTTTTGGTGCGAATATGTGATCATTTTTTTTTGTGGAACATTTGCAGCATTGCTTTTAAAAATGTTTCGGAGAGTAGCAACATTTAAATCAACGCACTGGCATGATATGTTTTGGAAAAACTCAAGAAAATTGGAGATTGGTGGAATATTTGCAATGCCGAATGTTGATGGCATCATGAATTGACTTGACTTGAGTCAACCTGAATAGATGTTTTGTAAATTAGTGGCAACAATCAGCCCACAAAGTTTTTCAACACTCCGACAAACAAAATCCAAACGCACACCGGCGCGAAACTCCACACTGTTGACTCAATGTCGTGTTTTTGATCTTTGCTTTGTGTGGTTTTGCGGACATGTTACGGATTCGATTTTGAAAACAAAGCGTCACCTTCCATTTCAAAACCTTCACGCAAAGTGGGACAGGAAATTTGATCAAACCAAAGGGCGACCAAAAGAGTCGCAGATTAACAGATCACCGGAGGGCGCACTGCCGCACTGCGAAATTGTTTTCGGGCCCGAATGGGCACCATTGTGAACTAGAGCAGTTTGGGGGATCCCTGTCGAGACGCTAATTCTTGGATTTTTTCTGTGCTGAAATATGTCTGCAATTTTCGCACTAGGCAACTATTTCGCACTCATCACGGCATCACTTCATCATCATCATCATCACCACCATCATCGTATGCATGCATGATGTTATTTGATTTTTGGAAATGGAATGGTCAAAACAACAACCGCAGTTATCAATGTTGTCCTTACCATAGTTGCTATCTTTGTTGGTAATATAATATCTTTATATACTAGGTATGATTTCTCTATCTATATTATGACATTTATGAATGAGATGATTGTGATTGTCCATATCCCTGTTTGTACCATGGTCCAAGCAATGATCCGTCATGTTCATCCATGGGGAAACGCCGCGAAACCGCTTTGAGGATTCCAAGGTGATTTGGGGTTCCGCCCCGGTTTCAGGATGTTTCAGGAACCATGTTTGAGTCAGATGGAATGGAACTGTTGGAGGATTGGAGGAACCTTAGAATTTTCTTTTTTAAAGTGTCGGTTTCGGTCGGTGGCATCGGCCCATGGCGACAGCGAACGGCCCATCTCAGCGCCAGATCAATTTTTCCCCGATGGAATGCGTGAACAAAGAAAATGCATTGCAGTTGTTTCGATCCATCTGTTCCATTTATTGCCAGGCTAGGAAACAGAAAATCATGGTCGTGCGTGAAATCTAAATTGTTATCGAGACTGGTCCAAACAACAACGAGTTTTGACCATGTTTGGGATATGCGGTTTCCATGTTACTAAAGCACAAACTCGAACCATCCAAGATATATTCAAACAAATGATTTGGACATTGAACATGTAAAGTACAAACTCAATGATATAGTTGTTGGATGTTGTCGGTAAGACATTTTGGCCTGGGAAACATGTGTGAAGGTTTTCAACGCGTCCTCATGCCCTTGAGCAACCAGCGCGCATTTCGATATTTTGGTGTGGAAAACATTAAGAGGAATGGGGGATGTAGCTGCATCAATAAAAATGCCGAAATGCAAACTTGCACAACAGTATTGAAAACGCGGGCATTCCCACAATCGTAGATCGAACACTGCAAAAAATCGGACGGCGAACGAGAGGGAATGTTGGCATCAGAACCGTGCCAGCAAGTACAGAGTGAACAAGACGTGGACATCCATCGAAACAACAGAAACACCAAGTGGAGCCTGACACTTGGATCGTAAAAATTGGTTGCGAACAAAAGCCGGCGGCCAGTGATGGGTAATTTTTCAACCCACAGCATCGTTCCAAATCGAGGCACGCTTCCATGGTTAATGGCAAAACAAATGTGGAATGGATTTGCAAGGGTTTGCCATCATGTTATTCATTTTTCACTTGGTGTAAATGCTTAGTTAAATTTGGGCCGGTATTTAGAAACCCACAATCCGACGATCCATATGCTTGGGACCGCCTTAGAACAAGTGCGATACGAAGAAACGAAATGTACAAACAACACAGTCCAGACTCGTTCGCTGGCTTGGCAAGGTCCCCTTTGAGAAGAGTCTATTCCCCTTCGAGTTCCCATTGTGTTGCATGTGTTGCGCCTAGTTTCAATAACCCGGTCGAAATGCCCCCACATGACAAGATACGTCCGTTCTGTCAATCCTGTTTCGCAAGGTAATCTGTTGCCAGGTATGTTGCTCGTTTTCTTGATGCCAAAGAGTTAATCGCTTCGATCATCTAAGCGTCAATCCCTTTGATTCCTGATGCACTTTTGTTTGTTCTTAGGGCAAAGATGTTGGATTTCATATTTTCGAATGTTTTGTGTGCATTGCTTGATCTGCCGCTCGGTTGATTGTGCCCGTCCTTTCCCGATGGACTGTGTTTGTTCACGATCTTCACGCAACCAGAAAACATTTCCGCGGAATTTCTTGTAGGGTGTGACGAACGCCCACCGCCTTCCATGCTCGCTTGTACCATGGATTAAATAACAAGTAGCAAAACTTGCGTCGACAAATTCCACTGAGGAAACGTGCCACCTAACAGAAACACAAACAATGAAAAACCAAAACAAACCGCCCACAACACTCAAGGGCCACACTTGGTCGCCTGTGCTGGATCTTGATTTTGGTTTGAATTTTTTGGAAACACGCATTTCCCCAGGTCTTCATTGGTCGCATTTTTTTGTATGACTAGGTGGTTGACTTCTTTTTGAGATATCGGTCAGAAAAAGTAGTTCTCGACCAAAACGCCCGCTTTTGCACAGGTCCTATGATTTCCTTGTTTTCCTTTTGATCCTGCATTCACATGTTACACATCAAACCCTCTTTCACTTAGATTTTGTAGTGTGGGCCATCATGTTTGACATAACGGAATTATGCACTGACAAGTTGCCCCAAATGGAGAAATTCAACCGCAACTTACCCTCCATCGGCTTTGAAATGTCACTGGCAGACTCTGTGGTTCACCATTTTTTCGATTATGTCAACTTTTGTACGCGATGTGAACTTTTTATGCAAATTTTAGCGCCTACACCAACCTTCAAAATGTTTTCAAAAACTTTCCAAATCACCACAAAAAAATCAAATGCCTACAAATCCCAAAAACTTGGTCAAAGGGGTTTGCATGCTTTAGACCACATGAGGGGGAATCTGAGCGTTTTGCCTTTTTGCATAATTCTCATGAATTCAGTGATTGGAGGAAGCATTTCCATGATGGCAAGTTTGAACATTGTGAGTGCATCACCATGCCGACGGGGGTTCACGACAATATCTTGTGGGAAACAATTCGAAACCATGACGAAGTTCTATAACCAGTGCAGGGAGTCAGGGAGTGATAGAAGATCCATGAAAATCCGAGGTTGCAGTACAGGACATAAAATCAACCAAAACGACTACTTTTTGAATCAGTTTCAGAAAGAGGAGAACATTAGGGGTTGGTGGGTCATTTTTGATCTTTTGAAAACATAGGGCAATCTTTTGTTTGCGGGATGTTTCCGAGGAAAAACAACTATTTGCCAGACAGTGCTGGCTCGAGATTATGTAACACACACATGTGGGCAACCATGTCCCACAACGTGCGCTTTGTTGTTCACAGGCGGTTTTTCTTTGAAATTTAACATGCAATAAACAACGACCTAGCGTAACAAATTTTTAACCGCACCACCTATCCATACCTTGCCCTTTCGCAGCGCGATTTTCGTATGTGTACATTTGAAACTTGACAGGGCATTGACACTTTAATTTGCTGTCATAATTCAATGCAAGCGGGCATTGAGTGTTCATCGATCTGAAACGGTGGTTGGCCTGTCAACGAACTTGGCTTTAGGGTTTGCAAAGGGCAGGTAGGTGTCAGCAGATTTGTACAGAAAATTTGTCAATGTTATGCATGTAAGCGGATTTGGCGTTAAGACCTTGCAAGGCTGTCAAATGTCAAAGTATTGTGCCTGTCAGAGGATTTAGGCACTGATAGTCTGCAAAAGTGGGACTTGTCAGGAGATTTTGTGTTAAACCTATAAGAATGCTGTGCCTGTCACTGGGTTTGTTCGCGAGGGTGTGCAGATGCCACGCCTGTCGCCGGGTGTGGTCATGACGGTCGGAGACGTGTGCATGTCAGCGAATCTGGTGTGGAGATTGTGGATACACCATCCCTGTCAGGGTATTCGGCGTTGAGACTTTTGGAAACGCAGTACGTGTCAGCAGATTTGGCGTTGAGACTTTGCAAGTGTTGTGCCGCAGTTGCGCCTGGCGGAGGATTTGATGTTGAATTTTCTGTAAATGCCGTGCCTGTCAGTGGATGTAGTATCGAGACTGTCAACGCATTTGGTGTTCAGAGCATTTCAGCCGATTTGTTATTCAGAGTCTGCGATCACAATGCCTAGCAGCAGATGTAAAATGCAGTGTTTGGAAGGGCTTTTCATGTCAGCGTTCAAATTTTGAAAATGTTGCGCTTGGCAACAGAGTTGGTGTTGAGACCCTGAAAACACTGTGCCGGTGACTGGTTTTCAATTTTGGGTTCTGTAAAACATTCCTGTCAACAGTTTGCTTCTGAGACTTTGGACTTGGTATGCGTGTCAGCGGATTTGGTGTTGAGACGCTGGAAAAGCTGTGCCTGTCAACTGATTTGGTGTTGAGACGCTGGAAACGCTGTGCATGTGAGCGGATTTGGTGTTGAGACGTTGAAACGTTGTGAGTGTCAGCAGATTTATTGTTGAGACGCTGGAAAAGTTGTGCCTGTCAGCGGATTTGGTGTTGAGACGTTGAAACGTTGTGCATGTCAGCGGATTTGGTGTTGAGACGTTGAAGCGTTGTGAGTGTCAGCGGATTTGGTGTTGAGACGCTGGAAAAGCTGTGCGTGTCAACGGATTTGGTGTTGAGACGCTGGGAACGCTGTGCATGTGAGCGGATTTGGTGTTGAGACATTGAAACGGTGTGAGTGTCAGCGGATTTGGTGTTGAGACGCTGGAAAAGTTGTGCCTGTCAGCGGATTTTGTGTTGAGACGTTGGGTGTTGAGACGTTGGAAGCGCTGTGCCTGTCAGCGGATTTGGTGTTGAGACGTTGAAACGTTGTGCATGTCAGCGGATTTGATGTTGAGACGCTGGAAAAGCTGTGCGTGTCAGCTGATTTGGTGTTGAGACGTTGGAAACGCTGTGCGTGTCAGCGGATTTGGCGTTGAGACGTTGAAGCGTTGTGAGTGTCAGCGGATTTGGTGTTGAGACGCTGGAAAAGCTGTGCGTGTCAACTGATTTGGTGTTGAGACGCTGGGAACGCTGTGCATGTGAGCGGATTTGGTGTTGAGATGTTGAAACGTTGTGAGTGTCAGCGGATTTGGTGTTGAGACGCTGGAAAAGTTGTGCCTGTCAGCGGATTTTGTGTTGAGACGTTGGGTGTTGAGACGTTGGAAGCGCTGTGCCTGTCAGCGGATTTGGTGTTGAGACGTTGAAACGTTGTGCATGTCAGCGGATTTGATGTTGAGACGCTGGAAAAGCTGTGCGTGTCAGCTGATTTGGTGTTGAGACATTGGAAACGCTGTGCGTGTCAGCGGGTTTGGCGTTGAGACGTTGAAGCGTTGTGAGTGTCAGCGGATTTGGTGTTGAGACGCTGGAAAAGCTGTGCGTGTCAGCGGATTTGGTTTTGAGACGTTGGAAACGTTGTGGTTGTCAGCGGATTTGGTGTTGAGACGTGGAAACGTTGTGCCTGTCAGCGGATTTGGTGTTGAGACGTTGGAAACGTTTTGCTTGTCAACGAATTTGGTGGTTAGACGTTGAAACGTTGCGAATGTCAGCGGATTTGGTGTTGAGACGTTGGAATTGCTGTGCGTGTCAGCGGATTTGGTGTTTGAGACGTTGGAAACGCTGTGCCTGTCAGCGGATTTGGTCAGCGGATTTGGTGTTGAGACGCTTTGTGCATGTTGAGACGCTGGAAAAGCTGTGCGTGTCAGCTGATTTGGCCTTGAAACGTTGGAAACGCTGTGCGTGTCAGCGGATTTAGTGCTGAGACGCCGGAAACGTTGCGCGTGTCAGTTGTTCGGTTGTCGGAAAGGTTGTGCCTGTCAGCGGATTTTTTGTTGAGACGTTGGAAATGCTGTGCCTGTCAGCGGATTTGGTGTTGAGACGGTGGAAACGCTGTGCCTGAGAGCGGATTTGTCGTTGAGACTCTGGATACGTTGCGTCTGTGAGCGGATTTGCCACATGCGTTGCCATTGCTTTTGCCTGCAATGCAAGTTTGCCCTTTCGTTGCCACGTGTGTTACCAAGGGCTTTTGCCCGCAGCCTTGGTTTGGCCATTGAATTTGCCGCACGTGTTTTTACCCCAACCACATATTTGCCAGTCCTTTTTGCCACCAATGTTGCCATTCCCCGTCAGTTTTTTCCGTCCATGTTGCCCTGCAGATTGCCGAAACCATTGCCACTGCCATTACTTGTGCCCTCGAGGTTTGCCATGGTTGTTGCCAGCAAATTTGGGTGCGTAATAGAGCATCGTTGTTAAATTTTAGATAAACTATATATGTGTACCTGGGTGGCATTTACAAGGAGGAAAATACGTTTGGAAAAAGAATTTGTGTTTGTTTTGGAAATGATGTGAAAAACTCATCAAAACCATTGCGAACATGCGAGCGTTTGTAGAGGTTTCCAGGTCAAACAGGTAAAGTTTTTTTTTAAAAGGTTGTAACTTACAACGTTTTAAGTTTCACACACGTCTTCTTTTCACTTAGTTTGTAGCTCAACATGTGCTACCGCAGCCTTTCAGGATCTGTGTTAAAAGAGCGAGCCCAATACGTCCCCCTGTTGTGTCACCCCGCGCGCATGGTAGCGCGGAGCCTCTGAAACACCAGGTTCCGACAACACGGCGGAGTGGCAAGGTCGACCTTGGCCACACCCGCCACCGCCGTTGCCTCGGCGACTACAAGCACAGTTGCAAGGAGAAACCTTTCGAAAGGACACTTCTGCAAACCAACCTTCCCAAAGGTTGACAACACAGCACCCGAAAGCAAAGCCTAGTGACAAACAAACGTCGGCGGCGCCCACAAGACCCACAGACTGGCAAGTACAAGCGGTCGAACAAAAGGTCCGCCAAGGCGCTGGAAAAGCGAGAGCTTCGCAAGCGCATCCACATGCTACGGAAAGAAACTTGTGAGGAACAAGAACAAACACAAGCATCATCCAGCAAGCAGCAAAACGAGAACAAAGGTCAGGTGAAAAGGAAGGAGTCCCCAGACCCATCCTCACACCAAACCCATATCTGACACGAGCACCTCCGGTTCCGAAACTGTTGAAAGTGACTCATCATCTATCTGCGTGGTTGCTCCGGCGCATCGCCGTGGAGAGCCGCGTCCCTGAAGGCTTGAGCCACGTGCCTTCTTAGCATTGTTGCCAAGTAGTTGTCACAATGTCAACTTCCGAACAGCAAATGCAACAGTTAGTTGGTCAGGTACAAATGCTGACAGCCGAACTTGCAGCACAAAGGTTGGAACTAGATGCCGCCAAAAACGCGTTAGACCAACAAACGCAAACAGCAACAGCAGCATTGTCAGTTGCACAAGCAGCTGTTGCACAAGCAGCTATTGCACAAATGGGGAAAACCGAAACCCAAAAGAAAACGTTGAATCCCAAGTTGGTAAACCCACCGGATCCCTTCCAAGGTACGGATGCCGACTGGGAGTGCTACAAGTTCGGTTTTGCAACGTGGATCAGCACAGTGGATCCTACGTATCCAGATCTACTGAGGAAAGCCGAGCTGGAAAGAGATGAGGTGGCAACAGTCGAAATGACTGAAGCCGATGAGCAGTTGTCAACTAATTTGTTCGCCATTTTGGTCGGACAGCGTCAAGCCGGCGAAATCCCTGTAATGGCCATGTTAATCCCAGAACGAAACGGTCTGGAACTCTGGCGACGCATGCGTGCCCGATTTGAGCCAGAAAATAAGCACAAACCGTTTGCATGGTTGAGAGCTTTGTCGAACCCCACGTTCCCGACAAAAGAAACCTTGTGGCAAAGAGGTTTGGAAGAATGGGAAGGAGAAATTGCAAAGTACGAAAGAGAGTACACAAAACAATTCGACGAAGACCTGAAACTGGGCAATTTTGTCCGAAGTGGCCCCAAAAGCGTTAGCCCCCCAGATCGCCATGAACTCATCAAACCTTACGTCTTACAAATTGATGAGGGAATTCATAGTGCAGTATTTGAAATCGAAAAACCTATGGAAACGTAGTGCGGGAACATCTTTTGGATCCATGGCCGCATCGTCGACATCATCCGCTGCGCACACCTCTGGGCCAGTTCCCATGGAGGTTGGTGCACTGGATGCTGCGGACCCTGCAGCAAAGCAAAAAGGAAAGTCAACAGGACACAAAGGAAATCAAAACGGTAAAGGTGGAAACAAAGGAGGAACAAAAGGTGATGGGAAAGGCAAGGACAAGGGCAGAGGAAAGCAAAACCCAAGCAAATCGAATGCGAAAGGCGAGTATTGCGCGATTTGCGGTCCAGAGAAAGGTAAAAACCACAGTACGGAAAATTGTTTCTTCAACGCCAGGTCGCACCCGAAAGGTGAAGGCAAAGGAAACAAGAAAGGATCCGCCAAATCCAACTCCGTAAATGCAATCGACGCGGCAAACGACGAAACACCCGTGCCTGCAGTCTTATCGACGTTGCAACAACAAATCGATGCGTTGAAACAAGTCACAGCAAACCAAGGCCAGGCAGGCAATCCTCAGCCCCCATCAGCGCAAAACAAAAAGACCCATCAGGGTGCAGTGACATCCTCAGGATCGAACATGTGCTCAGCCCCCATCAGCGCAAAACAAAAAGACCCATCAGGGTGCAGTGACATCCTCAGGATCGAACATGTGCTTTGCAGTGGGCGATTCTCCGGCGAAGGCCGTTGAGAAAACCAAAGTGCAACCAGTCACGCCGTCTCCGCACAACAGCGCGGCAGCACTGCAAACAACAAAGTACATCATGGTTGACTCTGGTGCCACAACAAGTTGTGCCAACAAAATGTCATTTCCACAAGCTGCGGTGGACCCAACCAAAACCAAAGAGTTGTGGGCCATCAATGGAACTCCTATCCACCACGAGGGCGAAATGCAAGCAACAACCCAGGTCACTGCAACCACACCGTTTGGAGAAACCACAGTGGTACCGGCCACTTTCCGAATGGAAATCACTGACACCATGGAACCCGTCATGGCATTTTGCCGGATTTTGGACGACGCTGATTGCGACCTGCATTTCTTCCGCTGTTCCTCTGCTAAGGTTTCGTGCCTGGTAACTCCGGATGGGAACACTGTTGAGTTGCCACGTTTCGGATCACGGTTTTATCTGCCATACGAAGACCGACCAAGCGCAGCCGCAGCATCCGCAGCACAATTGGTAGCAGCCGTTGGTGACATGGAAAGCGACGTTGGTGATCGCGAAATCCGGGCAGATGACGCTAGCGTGGACGGTGAAGTTGCGGAACCAACAGTTGAGCCACAATCCCTGCCGCAACCTCCAACACCCACGGATGAAGCGCGACAATTGCATGAACTCACGCATGCAGATTTCGCCTCCTGGTGCCAACATTGCGTTGCAGGAAAGGCACCCGAAGACAAACACGTCCGAACGAACAAACACGAAGATGCACAAATCCCCGTGATCCAAATCGACTACCAATTTTTCAGTCGTGATGGCGAATTGGTGGAGGAAGAAAGCCGCAGTGCAACGGTCCTCACTGGCGTTGACACATCGTCAGGTTTCCCAGTCATGATCTTTGCACGCCAAAAGGGTGTCGACGCATACGTGTTGAAAGCATTCATGGTATGGATCAAGCGCGTTGGATACAACAAGGTGCTCCTGCAACATGATCCGGAGGAACCATTGCGTGCATTGCTGGAACAAGTACAGCAAAAATTGGGAGCAGACAAGGTACAACTGAGGGCCAGCCCGCGTTACAGTCACCAAAGCCAAGGAGGCGTGGAAGGCATGAATCGGATGATGGCTGGTGTTGCGAACATAGTTGTGCGCCCTTCGGGAAAAGTACCCACATCCAAATCAGCCGTTGGACATCAATCACATCATCGTGCCGTGGTTGTGCAAATGGGTTGCTTTTGTATGGGCTAGGTATCACATCAAAAATGACAACGTGACCACATACAAAATCGTCACCGGCCGCGAGTATACGTCGCCAATCGTGCAATTTGGTGAGGTAGTCATGTGTAAGGTGCCCAATGTAAAGTCCGTTAGCAAAAGCAAACCCCGTTGGTTCAAAGGAATTTTCGCTGGCAGAACCGAAGCCGATGATTCAGCAATTGTCCTCACCAATGCTGGTGCGATGACAGTCCGGTCTATCCGTCGACTGCCGCAACCTGAGCAGCACGATGTGGGATTGCTGGACGGCGCACGCGGGTTGCCGTGGGCGTTAACAGCCGCAACACGTCCCAAAATCAAAACGGAAACACGCCAGGTTGTGCCAATGCTACCCCCAACTGCCCCGTCCAACGGAAACAGCGATGACGACAGCAATGCGAGTGATAGCGACCCAAGTGCAAATTCAACATCGGAAACGAGCCCAGGCGATGACAACGACGACCACGCGATCGCGATCATGCCCAGCCAAGAGTTGAACATGCGATTGGCAGCTGAAAACGTTCCAGTCCCCAGTTCCGTCGTACCAACTCCAACGACACCGATGTTGACCCCCCAAGGGATGACGCCGCCCGAGTCCGTAAGTCCACCCGGCATGACACCGCCAGTCACTCCGGTTGAAATCCCGTTGAGTGATGGCGGAAGCCAACATGAGCAGATTGAGGGCGAACCAACCGCATCTCCCATCGCCGTGCCGTTACCCAAACGTGAAATAGGTGACGAACCAAGTTCGCCAGCGAAGGTCCCACGGGTGGAAGTCCCTGAGACCCGGGCGCCCACGCAAGGTGCTGGTGGAAGTGAGTCCCCGACCAAAATCCAAAGGAGTGGGACAATCACAGCCGCACTTGGAAAAATCGAGGACTGGGCGCGCAGTGGCGCTTGGGAGAACAAGATTGCATCTGTATTGGATCTATTGGACACCCAACTCGACCCAAAAGAAGTCGAAAAGGCAAGGGAAGTGCAAATGGCAACTTTGGTTGAAAAAGAGTTTGCCGTTCCAAGGCTCAAACGCGAAATGTCCCGCAAATCGAAACTGTTCCATTACAAATGGGTGGATGAAATCAAAAGAGGCGCGTACCGCAGCAGGTTCACATGTGCGGACATAAAGCGCAAGTACACGCGAGAAGAACTCGAGGAGGAAACCAACACCTTCGCACCAACACCGTACGAAGAATCCCACGTTTTGCTCGAACTGAAGTGTTTGCAAGAGGGTTGGCACACAAGGTCAGGTGACGTCAGGTGCGCATACCTGTTGGGACGGGATTCCGGCGACTCTGCAGGGAACCCTGTTCACATCCGAATGCCCCCGGAATACCAGCCACATTTTCAAGCATGGCTACACCAGCAATCGCCTGAAGTGCAAGCAAAGTTCGAAGGAGTAGATTTGAACAAGGTTGTGCTGGAGTTAGTTGGTAACCTGTATGGACGCCGACCGGCTGGGAACAACTACCGCAAAGAGTTCGAACAAGTAGTTACGGAGAAAATGGCCTCGAAAGGCTATCAGTTCCAAAGGGGCAAGCGCGACCCAACTGTGTACACCTGTGCCAAAACCGGTGCAACCATTCTCCACCATGTTGATGATCTGCGTGTAGGAGCCGCAGACGTTGATCTGCAGTTTCTGTTGTCCAAGCAAGGTCTAGGCGAATTCCTGGACATGAAGGTAGGTAAGGTAGAAGCACCCGGAACAAAGGTAAATGTATTAGGTAGGACAAAAGTACGCACCCAAGATGCAGAAATTCTTTACCCTGCCTGAGGACAAACGACGAGACAACATCCTCACACTCCTCAACCTCTGGCACGCCAAGCCGTCGAAGGTTGCAGGAAAGAAATCCCCCGAACTGAAGACAACACAAAGCCTGTAGATGAACACCGAGCCGTGCTGTACCCAAAATGTGTAGGAAGCGCAATCTACCTCAGCATCGATCGGAGGGACATCCGTTTCGAAGTAAAGGAATTAGCTCGACACATGCTGGATCCTCGTGAAGTAGATTGGGACAATCTCCTGACCCTAGGACGTTATCTCCTTCACAAACTGGCCCTTGCAAGAGTTGTCACGTTGAATCCCGAAAGTAGAGCCTCCGGCATCTTGACCGTGGATGGCTTTACGGATTCCGATTGGGCAGGTTGCCTTGACACACGTAGGTCCAGTGATTGCAGTGTAGTAATCGTAGGAGGCAGTGTCGTAATAGCGCACCCACAAACGCAGCCCGGCCTCCCCGCTACCTCTTCTGGCGAAGCCGAGGCACGAGCTTTGAGCCGAGGGGCGCGGGATATCATGTTCATCAAACAGCTTGGTGAAGAGGATTTTGGTTTAAAAATGGCCGTACCGCGTGTTTGGACAGATGCCAGCACCGCATTGCAAACAGCAAAGCGTTTGGGCGCAGGCTCCCGGATGCATCACATCGATGTAGCTGCGCTGTACGTCCAAGAGTTGGTGTACCAAAAACAGTTGAAAGTCGGCAAGGTAGCTGGGACAGCAAACCCGTCCAATTGTCTCACAAAGCATTTGGATGCCAAATTGAGGGATGAATGCCTTGAAGATTTAGGCATGGTAGATATCAGTAGCTCAGACTGGCAGCCGCTGATTGAAGCCGCTGAACAAATTGAACTCGTAGCAGCCTTGTTGTCCCAACGCCCAAAAACGAAAGCGAACACACCGTGGAAACCAAATTTCGCAATCGCCGCTGATGCGCTCCAAATTTGCATCTTACAATCGTTGGCCGGAGTGTCCACAGCAAAACCCCAGGTTACGCTTCACTCAGGCATTTCCTTGGAGTGATGGTCTTCGAAACTCAGGCCCAGGCTTTGGAGTTGCACGCTGTCCGTAGTGCAGGCGTGTACAGTAAGCCCCAACCTTTAAGGGGCGTGCGAGCGTTTGTAGAGGTTTCCAGGTCAAACAGGTAAAGGTTGTAACTTACAACGTTTTAAGTTTCACACACGTCTTCTTTTCACTTAGTTTGTAGCTCAACATGTGCTACCGCAGCCTTTCAGGATCTGTGTTAAAAGAGCGAGCCCAATACGTCCCCCTGTTGTGTCACCCCGCGCGCAGAACAACAAAGAAACATGCATGTTTTCCCTCATATCACCAACCATTGTTTTCTTTCCTCCCAGATTCCGTGGGCACGCGTAAAATTTATTTTTGGGTGTACCAGTACAGGACCCACCGATTGTAATGACACCAAGCCTAATTGGGTGGCATTTACACGTAGGAAAATGCGTTTGGAACAGAATCGTGTTGATTGCGTGCAGACAGAATTGAAAACAAAATTGAGAAAAAAACAGAACCGCACGAACAAATACATACCCAGTCTATTTCTCACTGCGCCAGCAATTTTTTTTTCCCAGTTCGCGTGGCCACGCGTAAAATTTATTTGGGGGTGGGTGGACTGGTTTGGACCCCATGGTTTGAATCCGATGAGGGTGCCTGAATTTTTGCATGTGTATGGGCTTGGCTGGCCTTATTGGAGGCCATATGTTCCTGAAACTTTGGATGCCCTCACCCCTACCTCGAATAATTTAGCTAACCACAGCTCAATTAATTAGGAAAATTATATTTGGGGTCCCCTTCGCCATTTCACTCTTGAGCGAGTTTGCCTGAAATTAATTTAAGTGGTGGGAAGGGAACTGTCAGCAGATTACGTGACAGGCACAGTATACCCTAACGACAAACCGATTGACAGGCGCAGACGTTCCAGCGTCCCAACACCAAATCCGCTGACGCGTAAAACGTTTCCATCGTCTCAACACCAAATCCGCTGACAGGCGCAATGTTTCCAGAGTTTCAGCGCCAAATCTGCTGACAGTCGTAACGTTGCCATGATCTGAACGCCAAATTCGCTGACAAACTTAAGGTTTTTGAAGTATCAATCAGCACCCAATCCGCTGACAGGCGCAGTGTTTTCAGAGTTTCAATGCCACACTTGTGACGAACGCAACGCTTCCAGCGTCCATCCACTGACAAGCACAGCGTTTCCAGCGTCTCAGCACTGAATCGGCTGACAGGCACAACGGTTCTAACTTGTCAACACCAAATTCGCTGACAGGCACAGCGTTTCCAACGTCTCAACACCAACTCCGTTGACAAACATAGCAGCATATCGTTTTCAAAGCTTCAGCAGCGCCTAACCGCGAAATCCGCTGACAAACTCAGCGTTTCCAGCGTTTCAGCATTTAATACGCTGATATGCACGACGTTTCCAACGTCTCAACACCAATCCCGCTGACACGCATAGCGTTTCCAACGTCTCAACACCAAATCCGCTGACAAGCACAACGTTTTCAATTTCTCAACGCCAAATCCGCTGACACGCGCAGCGTTCCCAACGTCTCAACGCCAAATCCGCTGACAGGCATAGCGTTTCCAGCGTCTCAGCACTAAATCCGCTGACAGGCACAGCGTTTCCAACGTCTCAACACCAAATCCGCCGACAGGAAGAATGTTTCCAACGTCTCAACACCAAATCCGTTGACAGGCACCACGTTTCCAACGTCTCAACACCAAATCCGCTGACAGGAACAGCGTTTCCAGCGTCTCAGCACAATACCCGCTGACAAGCACAGCGTTTCTAGAACGCGCACAAAATTTCCAGAATTTCACTACCAAACCTGTGACACGCACAAAGTTTCCAGGCACAACGCCTTTAGAAAATTAGAATGAAACCTGGTGACAGGCACAGCGTTTCCGGAGTATGGACGCGAAATCCTTTAACAGTTGTAGCGTTCCCAGAGTCTCAGCACGAAATCCGTTGACACACCTTGCATTTCTTGAATGTCGACACCAAATCCTTTGACCGACAGATCACGTGAATATATTTTTTTTGGTGTAGATGTCAAACTAAGAGGATGTGAAGATGTCAGAGTTTTAGTTGCAAGAGACAGGAAAGGCATGTGTTATAGAAGATGTAAGAAAATAATGAAAATACAAACGCACAGATATGTTGATAGGCTCTCAAACACAGACGCGCGCAGAGAAACAT